CGTAGTCAAGTATTCATTCCTTATGCGCTAACCCACACAGAATCTTACCACTCGGGTTCTGTTCAAAATTAAGCCATCCAGTGACAAAGTGAGCAGGTCTAACAGATCTGACGATTAGAGGGCCTGGACCCTCGTCCGTATTCTCACATATTGGTGTCAGGAGTGGGGTGTGCATAAAAAATAGACGAACCTGTCAAAGCGGACAAACCTGTTATTAAAGGACAACCTGTCTAACGTGGACAAAGGTCTTATTCGTAGTCTTATTAGCTATAGTATCTAAGCTTAGGCCTTAGGGTTAATTTTAAGTTACTTATAAGTAAGTATAAGGTTAAAGAGGGAAAATGGAGGGAGAACCTTCTAGAGGAGCCCCTGTGGCAGGAAACCCTTTAACTTTAGGAGGTTTAGGGGGAATGATACCCTTGCTTCCCGTATTTTCTGGAGATACTAGCGGAATTCGTATTACCGAATTCTTTGATGCGTTAGCTGATGTAAATAGAATAGCTGCCTGGACCAAGGCCCAGATGTTGGCTGTGGCCAGGTTAAAATTAACTGGTATTGCCCGGGAATTTGCTAGAAAAGATAGGAGAATTAAAGATGTAGAAGATTTTGAAACATTTAAAAAGGTGATGATAGAGCGCTTTGAACGAATTCCATATACTTATAGGCTACAAAAATTCTATGCCTGTGTGCAAGCACGAGATGAGGATGTACAAGCTTACGCTGTCAGATTACAGTCCTTAGCTGCCGAAGTAGAAATCGAACATGAAGGAGCTAGTGATACAGAAATAGCAATTATAAAGAGGGTCAAGGAGAAAGAATTAGATGAAAGGCTTAGAGTGCAGTTTTTATCCGGGATCGATGTGAAGATTAGACAGAGGGTAATGTCTAGAGATCCGGAGACATTTGATCAGGCTCTACAAGTAGCCATTAGGGAAGAAAGTATAGAACTATTGACATCCCGACCTCAGGGGTTCTTGAGGATAATAAAAGAGGAAGATACCCTTCATGATTCCCAAGATAGGGAGAGGTACATAGACAAATCACGGCCAGAAATAGAACAATTAATAACTGCTGTAAAGGAATTAAGAGCCGACTTCAATAACTTTAATAGGAATTATGCTCACAGTGGAAGACGGCAATGGCAAGGTGCTAGGCAATGGCATGGGCCATATCCTGAACCTTCTGTAAAGTCCCAAAGAAAGGGATATGATCACAGAACACATAAGTTGCGGAAAAAGAGATCAGATAAGTCAGCTGATCAAGATAATCAATTTTTCTCCAACCAGACAGAGGAAAGCCTATTAAAAAGAGATAATGAATTCTGGAAGGGAACACATTTTGCCATTAAAAATAAAGAGAGGGTAAAAGGTATTTATAACAGAAGTGAACGGAAATCATGTTTGCCTTATCAAACGCAAGATCAAGATAACCAGTTCGGTCCTAAACCGAAAGGGAAAATTACAAAAACCCCCATTATCCTCATCTACCTGGAAAACATACCTATCAAGGTTAAGTTGGATGAAAGGGCCAAAAGCACTCTTTTATCAAAAAGGATTACCGACAAATTAAAGCCAAAGGCTTTAGTGCATGAGTCTATGCCATTAAAATTAGAAAATACCCCAGGAGAAGAGATTTTAGTTAAAGGTATAGCGTCCCCATTATTTAAATTACGAGGTTATAAATTTATAAGGATGGGGAGAATTGTGGACCCTGTGGTAACCTCGCCGTGTGATGGTATCCTAGGCAAAGATATCCTAGAGGGGGAAGGAATAAAAATAGACAATTCCGATAGGAAACTAATATTGGCAAACGGTCGCGAGATACATTTTTGTTCACCCCTTCCACTTAACCGAAAAAGAAGACGTCGTCAAAGGAATAGAAGTAGGAACAAATCGACCAACTCCTCCGAAGAAACATCGTTAATTAATCGACCAACCCTTCGAGACAGCCAGCAGCCATTTCCGAATCAGGATGAGAAAAGGCAGAGTTGGATTAGAACAGTTCGTTCAGTACCTATACCATCGTATAGGAAAAATAGACAAGGAACTACTCTCACCCCTGAACCCCTAAGACAAAACAAGGAAACTGGAGAAGTTGAATCAGAGACAAAAACTTTACCAAGTGTTTGGGTGTCTTCTCACAGCAGGCACCATAGATCAGACGAACATAGAGTAGCAGTAAACCATAAGGCTACAGAGGCAAGCTTACAAGTTTGTCAGCGGCAAAAAGAGAAAATGGACGATGACCAAGAGGTTAAGAGCGAGTATGAGTATCGGCCTGGGGTCAAAGAAATATTACAGCAGTTTATACATTTGATGTTCTTCACTTTTAGTGTTATCTTAGGATTGGGTTATAGGATGATAATTCGACGATCCATTGTGGGAGTGAGAATGGAGAATTGCGCGGGATTAAAAATAGCAAGCCGAAGTCGCATTCCAGTCTCCACGTTTCTAAAACCAGCCGGTTATCCTGTATTGCCCGGATCTAGGGGACTCTATTCTGAGCCCTTGAGAAAGTTGAGTATTTCGAAAAAAAAAAAAAGAGATGATCCCGTATCAATAGCATCGAGATAGCTAATTTTTAAATATGCGTTTTGCAATAATATCATTAGCAAGCATAGATAATACTTATACCTGTAAGGGTATAGAGATAAGTTAAATGAACTTCTTTCCTTTGGGATTTGCTACGAATCAAAAATTCGGGCGAAGAAATTAGGAAATTAAGACAATAATAAAATATAATAATAATAAGATTAATTAATAATTAAATAAGATAAATTAGTTTAAGGGTAAGTTAGATATAATAAAAAATAAAGAAAGAGAGAGAGTGTCAAACTAAATATCCATAAGAATATAAGATTGTAACTCAAGAACTCGTTAAAATACCTCCAACTTGTGCGCCTCAGTGTTTCCCAAGAACTTATTGGTTTTAAGTGTTTATTTTCCAGTCTTAGATAAACTCTCCATAAACTGAATAGTGAGATCGAAAGTTGGTTGAATATTCGACCATTTCTAAGTATTTATGCAAGAAGAAGGGATTATGAAAGAAGAAGGAAGACCCTATAGGCTGAAGACTATCCAACTCCATCTCATCGTCTCACCTAGAGGACGACTTTTCGCTAGTAAACTGACCAGCCACGTCTGACAAATTATCAACTTCATAGGAAGCTATTGGAGTAAAAGAAGATAAGAACTAGAGACTACTTCCTCCTTCCGAATGAGGGATACAACTGTTCCTGTTGAAGTTAAATTGTAGTGAAATTAACTTCCTGCTGAAAGAATGTATTATTAGATTAAGTTATCACTTATATATATATATCTAATTGTTGTATTTTATTTACATGTAATCCAATTGATTATAATTTGTATCATATATACCTCTTTTTATTTTATACGCAATATAACTATGTGATATCAATTTTATCTTATTTTGTGTAACAAATGTAATAATATTTACTGTAAGGAGAGAGAGAGTAATATATTCAATAGAAAAATCTCACCTATCTTTAAGGACGGTGTGATTTTTGAAAGGAAGGAAGTGGTGTGATAATCCGAGGATTGTCTTAAATCAATTTATATTATTTAAAAAAATAATTTTACTTTAATTGTTAAAGAAATATTTAAAAAGGATAAAATTAGGAATAATTAATAGGACATAACCTAATAAGGTTATAAACTTCAACATCCTGTAAAAACTGCTATGACACGCAATCTGTAACAAGAAATGAGGATGTTCTCCACGCCTCATATCTTAGAATTTTGCACTCCATCTGGTCTATTGACACATTATTTCTGCTAATCATGATGATGCAGAAAAGGTGGATAAAAAGGCAGGTTTTGAGATACTCGTGGCAGTTCACCCCAGACAGAAGTGCCATGTATAGGCCGTTTAACAGAATCTGAACATGCCATAGGACCAGCCAGCCATATAGTTTCCTCCAGATGCTGCCTTACCACCCACACGAGGTAATATAATTCATTGTAAACCTCTCTCTCTCGGTTTAGATTAATTTAGAACCTAGAATAGTGAGATGAGATACTTCCTGTCTCATCACATCCTCTATATTCTCGATAATAAGGATTAGCCGTAGGTTAGACTAATGTTTGATGTTTTGTTGTCATATTATTTGTACTAGTTGTTTTGTTTTTCTGTAATTAAATTGTTGATGTTATATTATATAACGGTCGTAGTCAAGTATTCATTCCTTATGCGCTAACCCACACAGAATCTTACCACTCGGGTTCTGTTCAAAATTAAGCCATCCAGTGACAAAGTGAGCAGGTCTAACAGATCTGACGATTAGAGGGCCTGGACCCTCGTCCGTATTCTCACATTACTGCCAAAGATTATTTAATTATTTTGGGCGATTGTGTCCATCCCATGGTACAATGTTTGTTCCCAATGGTGATGCTGTGTTCCAAGACGACAGGGCGCCTGTTCACACAGCTCACATTGTCCAAGATTGGTTTTGTGAGCACAAGGGTGATTTGTCACATCTCCTCTGGCCACCACAGTCACCAGACATCAATATTATTGAGCCTTTGTGGTCTACTTTGGAGAGACAGATGCGTGATCATTAACCACCTCCATCATCGTTACCTGAAGTTGCCACTATTTTGCATGAGGAATGGTACAAGATTCCCTTAAAAACCATACAGGACCTGTATTTATTCATTTTGAGAAGACTGCAAGCTGTTTTGAATAACAACGGTTTTCCTACACCGTATTAGGGCTTAGTAATAGGTTTCTTTTTTGTGTTTCCATATTTTTGTCCAACCCCTGTATTTTACTTAATGGTATTTGAAAATCATTTGAAGCTTTGTAATGAAACATGAAGAAAATAGATGACTATTTAAAAATACATATTCAATTAAATAAATATTAGTATAAAAGGCAAATTTTTATTATTGATGTATCAGAATTTATTTTATTGATTTTTGTTTTTCTAAACCATATATTATCTGCTTTCAAGTAATTGGATTAATATTTATATTTCATAGGAAAGAAAATGATATTTCAGCTCTTAAGAATAGTCTACAATTTTATAACATCAAATTAAGGAAATTACACAAAAAGTGACTATTAATTACAAATAGCAGATCATAATTACTGATTTACATTGATTAAAATGAAAGAGACAAGTGAATTAAAATGTTAAAATAATTTTTGGAAAAAAAAAATGGAAAAGAAAAATTCTAATATGGAAGGTAGCAATGTCAATGAAATAAAGTTGGAAAATCCAGATGAAACATGTCAAGATTTGGTCACTTTAAACAATGAAACAGCTGTAGAATGCAATGATAATATAATTTTCGAACAAGATAGTCCTGAAGAAAACTTTGATGGATTTATTAAAACAGAAGAAATTAGCATTATATACAAATGCTGTGGAAAAGAATTCACAAAGTATACTGGATATAAGATTCACCAGAGAAAAATGCACATTAAACAAAATACATTTCCTTGCAACTTATGTAATAAAAAATTTATGAATAGAAGACAATTAAAATTGCATGAAAAAAATCATACAGAAAAGGAATCTGAAACATGTAATATATTTAATACAGAGTATGAAATAAAAAATAATTTAAAAACTAATACAGACCTAAATGCTGTTGAAATATCTTATGTTTGTGATTATTGTAGAAAAGAATTTCAAAAGAAATGTAATTTACAAACACATATTCTTGTACATACAGGTGAAAAACCATACTTTTGCAATATTTGCAAGAAAGGATTCATAACTAGTAGCAAGTTAAAATCACATGTGAGAATTCATACAGGTATTAGTCCGTATGTTTGTGATTTTTGTGGTAAAATGTGTATTGCAAATAGTGATTTTAAAGCCCATGTTAGAATTCATACTGGAGAGAAACCATTTTTGTGTAAAACATGTGGTAAAGGATTTAGGAGGAGCTGTGATTTGCAATCACATGACAGGGTTCATACAGGAGAAAAACCATATGTTTGTGAATTATGTCATAAATCATTTATAAATAGCACTAAATTGAAAGCACATGCAAATCTTCACTGTAGTGAAGCACAACATGTATGTGATATATGTGAAAAGGTCTGTACTACTGGAAATGATCTTAAAACACATCACAGGATACATACAGGAGAGAAACCATATCTGTGTAAAACATGTGGCAAAGGATTTAGGAGGAGCTGTGATCTGCAAACACATGATAGGGTTCATACAGGAGAAAAACCATATGTTTGTGAATTATGTCATAAATCATTTATAAATAGCAGTAAATTGAAAGCACATGCAAGACTTCACTCTGGTGATACACCATATGTGTGTGATGTATGTGGAAAAGTGTGTACTACAGGAAATGATCTTAAAACACATCACAGGATACATACTGGTGAGAAACCATTTATATGTGATTCTTGTGGGAAAGCATTTAGAAGAAGCTGTGATCTGTCTACTCATCTAAGAATTCATACTGGAAATAGACCTCATGTATGCACGTTTTGTGGTAAAGGATTTATAAATAATAGTAAGTTGTTGATACATCAGAGAACACACACTGGAGAAATGCCTTTTGTTTGTGATTTATGTGGTAAGAAATGCATCTCAAATCGCAGTTTGAAAATTCATCAGAAAACACATATAGGAAAAAAAAACATTCTTACATGATATATGTCATAAAGGATTTATTAATAGTATTAAATGAGTATCCTTAAAGAACTCTTACTGGAGTTATAAGGTATAAGGTTAAGACCTTATACCTTATAACTTATACCTGTGATTCATTAGGTAAAAGTTTTATTTATATTAATACAGTAGAGCGTCGATTATCCGAAATTCAATCATCCGAAAGAATTCCAGTCGGCAAATTTAAATTTTCGCCAGTGCTGTGGCGCTGCAATCTTTGGCTATGTCTTGGGCTACTCAAATATTTTACGTTTTTGATACTAAATTAAGTTCTGAAGTATAATTTTTTATTGTTTTTATATTTTTCAATATATTTATTTTGTTTGTACAAAATAAAAATTAATTTTTAACGATACAATAGTCTTCGTTAGGCTTAACATCGACAAAAATTCAACGCGAAGCGACACGCAACAGAGAAAAATGTCAAGATGGGATAAATTAATATATTTTTTCGTACATAATTGGTTATCCGAAACATCGATCTTCCGAACAACCCTAATCCCCAATTGATTCAGATAATCGACGCTCTACTGTAATACGAAAATTCATAAAAGGATTCACACTGCAGAAAGACCATACATACGTGATACTGTTTGTTAAATATTGAATCAATATATTTAAAAAGATATTTAAATATATCTAATTATCTAATGTAGTGATGGCAATTTTTTGATTAATTGCTAATTCTATATTTTATAATCAGCACATTGATTAATTGGTATAATTCAATATCGATTATATTCTAATTGATCATTCAATAGACCTAAACATAACACAAAAATAAAATGAAAATACCCGCACATGCATAATTTGTTATTTACCATACAGAACCTGCTTAACCTTATATATTGTGAAAGGATTCTTTAAAAGTGAAGTTGCAGAAGCACTACTAAAACCTCATATTGAAAAACAAAAAAAAACTGGTAAACAAAGCTAATAGTAAGCAACTAATTTAGGAGAATGACCCAGAAAATACAAACTATTAACACTTCTATAGAACTACCCCCAAAAAAAACATTGTGTTTTATTTCCTTAAAAAAAAATAAGGCAATATTGAACTTGCAGTAGTTATAAAAATCAAATATGCAATGAATATTCATATTGTATATGCATAAATTGACCAAGTAGTAGTTTTTTTTTTGTTTTGTTTTTTGCAGCTTACAATAATAAATAAAATACTCAGTCTATTCAGGTTTGTGTTTATAAACATAACCAGTAATAAAAAGAATGAAATTGCCATCAAATATGTTTTTTAAATTACAATTATTGAAAAAAAGCTACATTGAACTGTACACATTTAGAACATTACTATGAGTAATATATCTTATTTACATGTAAAGAATAAATAAACTTTAAATCAATCTTTCCAGTCACTTTTTTCAATGCTGTGTAAAAATAGTCATTTTTGTATAAACTCAAATTTCAGTTAGCTTTGTTTTCTTGATAATATTTTCAGCCTTAGAATAAACATCCACATGAAACAGAACTTGTAATAAGCAATTATTTATTGAGACATTGTCACAATGCACTTTAGTAGTACCTTGCCCTGTACATCATATATTCCTGTTAATGGTGAAGTTATGCCAGTCATCTATTTAACTCCATTTGGGAAAACATTTTTGAATTGAAATACTGTGACTAGTGGCAGAAGTTCGTATATAGTTAATCAGGCCCTCCTGCCCCTAAGCTTTCTCTGTCTGGTCTTGACTTTCATCTATTTAACACCGTTCTCAAAATTAAGGATGGAGATGGACAACAGTGGGAATTTATAGGTTTACAATTTTTTCAATTGCAGCCCAATGTCAGCTATGTTACAGGAACTGTTGTTAAATTTGGATATTTGTTTTACATTCATTCAATATTTGTATGGATCAGCATTTCTATAGAGGTACCTGCAGACAATTATGAAGCTCATATTCAAATCTTTATGATTAGATGAAGATCCAGCACCATTCTTGGAAACTTTGTGAATATTCACAGACTATTTTGGTGAGTTGTGTTGCTATCATTAGATATGAATGTATGCTCTTCAATATTGCTTCCACTAAGATATATTTGTTCATGTTGAATTAACTGCAAAGCTTTTGCTAGAGATAAAGCCTACACTTTCAAGGTGAAATGTTCCTGCATTGTTATTACTAGATGTCTAAGAATATCCTGCTCTAATTATCAAAATACATAGTGCAAAAGTAGCCCAAATTTATAATCAAACATTAATACAAAATACAAGTATACTGTTATTATATTAGTAATTTGTTATGTGGCTAAAATGCCTGAAACTGCTAGTGGTAGTGATGGTGGTGATGTGGCATTTATCTCTAATTGGCAGCAACCTTTGGCAAAAAAAATTGTGGATAGCGCATACAACTAAGGATGCATTTGTATGCTTCGTACGCAAAACATGTGATATGTCATAATTGTAACTCAATTTCCAAAGGAACATACTCAATCTTGGCGATTAATCTGCATTATAAAAATATTGGTTAATGCGATTATTTAATTAAATATGATTATCAATATTTTCGAATTTTAAATAATCAATTGCCATCACTAATCTAATGTATAGTATCTATTATTAAATCATTTTAAAATTATTTAGGAGAAATCTTTTAGAATGGACAATAAGACTTTTATATCTGATTCAGTTTTGTTTCAAAGAAATTATATACGGTATATATATATATATATAAAAGAAAAACATTGTTTATTTTTCTTTGTCAAAATGTAATTAATAAATAATTTTTATAATGTAGTAACTAATGAGAATTAAATATTTATTATTCTACCTCATTTCAACAGACATGTATTTTTATTGCAAAAGCTATTGAAATAAATGATCTTAAACCATGTGTACCATTCCATTTACTTGGTAACAAACCACACTGTTACTACTATGATAAAACCTGTGTAAACCAGAATCACAAAGTTCTTGATATTTTTTCCACTTTAGGCAGGTTTCTGTTTTGGACATGCTTTACTGTTTACAGTCTTTCCAACAATAATACAACATACAGTGATTGCCTAGAAACACTTATTTTCATGTTCTAGAAAATTTCTTTAAAGTTACATTTTATGTCATCAAGAATTATTACACAAGTTTGGAGAAAAACTTTATTATAAAATGTCAAAAAGCTTAATTTTGAGGGTAGTGGTGTGTTTTATATAAAGATTGTAGGAATAAAATCATTAAAATGCAATATTTCCTGAAAAAAAATACTGTGAGAATGGGGTGCATCTTATACACTAACAAATACGATAATTTCTTTCTCCTTATATATATATAGCCTACTTTTATTGTGAAGTATGCAATTTGTAGTATGAAGTTTAATTCAAATTTCAAGATAGCAGATGAATATCTGTTCTGGTATCAGTTCACTGGCAGAATGACCCAGGTACAGATTTAGAGCAGAGGGACTGGAGTTATAGAACATATGCGTGTTATACGGTAAAAAATCATCAAAATTATAATTGTTTCAATCGAGATTCTTTGTAAAATGAGTTTCCTAGTCTAGGTAAATTTCCTCTGCATTTCTAAAAATGCGGGGGAGCAGAGATCAAATTGTCTAGATTCCCCAGGAAATAAAAGGACTACTCTACAATATTTTTGTTTATTTACTCTAATAATTCGCTGTAGGGCTCCAATACGCCTTTTGTCACAGACCCTCTTTACCCTCTGGACTGTCCGTGGCCTAATGGCCGAGCGGTCAAGATGGCAGCCTACTGGGGACCCGGAATCGAATCAGGACGGGTCGAATAATCCCTAGAAATTTTTCGGGGGTGGTCCATCCGGATATGTCAAGCTCCGTCCTTCACCATCCGGTCGCTCCATTGTGGGCCTTGCCATACTCATAATGGGCTTGCAAAAAGAGGCCCACTTAGTGTCCACAGGGTGGAAAGAGTTAAAAAAGAGAGAAATAAAATGACGGACACGCTACAGATTAATTTGTACACTTTTTGTAAATAGAATCTCATTAATACAGAAAATTTCTATCTTTAAGAATTAAAATATTTTCTAGATTTGAGATGTCAACAATACGATTTTCGTAATTGTCGAGAGATTGGTTTGTAGAAGCTATTTCAATGCGATTTTATTCGACTTATTCGAAGGAAACGGATAATTACATTTTTTTGCTCATCTGCATATTTTTTTGAATCGAATCAAAGAAAATATTCTTCACCGGACATGACGAATTATACCCAGCCAACGAAGCGGAACATGAAAAATTGTCGGTTCGATCTGAGCAACGAAAGGAAAACAGAAATTCCAATGAAGGGAATGAATTTTTATTACCCGCACAAAGCATAAAGATTGAAGAGGAACGAAGAAATAGAATGCCAAAATTTTGCTTGAGAAAGGAGTTCCTTCCTCAATTGTATGCTCCAAATGAGGACTAATTGAATATTAAAACGTTAAAACGAAACAATACAATATAAAGAAGCAAGAAAAGATTTTAGACGATGCTAAAGTAATTCACGTGATTAAAAACATTCAATCCATTGATGATTTAATAAAGAACGTGAATAAGAACTTTATAAACCATAGACAGAAACTTTATTCGGAACACAACTGCAAACTCCCAGTGTTCGGGGAAGGGAACCGCTTGGCCACTGTGGGCCTGGTGCTTACCATGATTAATTTACTGTGTTTTTGTTATTTATTACTCCTGCTTTTAGGTATTCGGTATTAAGCCGAATAGTGAAAAATGGGCCGAATACCGAATAGCAACCGAATATTCGTTACATCACTAATATAAACTTAATTCATTGTAACTTCATTATAATTATATATATACTTTCCGCTGCCACACTACAGAGAGTTTAGGCGAGTAAGTTGAGTTTACTATCGTCTGTATGTAAATTTACAGTATGTAAATTAGGTACCGTAAGTCTAATACATCACTAATTTTATGCATTTCTTGTGAAAGAAACATTTCTTATTCAAAGGCCATAAAAATTATTTATATTAACGATTTCTCCAGAGTTCAACGAAGTTTTCGCAGAAAAACAACTTATGAGAAATTGCGGCCGCCGTTTGGTGCGCTGCTCCGCGACGAAAACAAGCTTAAGCAATGGCGACGTCAAACGGTGCACACTCGGTAAGTAATCTTAGTTTTTTGTTTATAGCATAGTTTATATGGATTATTCCCAAAAAATTATACGTGTTTTGGAAATGTTGAGTCGAATTACTCTAGGAATCGATTAATTTTATGGAAGAAAACCTTTCAAACAGCCGTAGTCCGTAAACCTCACACGTGTCGGGCTGTGATTGGCAAGGTCTCCTAAAACATCAATTTCATAAAAATCGGAACGTATCTACCGTGTTATGGGGGGTCGACTGTACACACCAGCATTACGTAATTAAATAAAACATTTTCGACATATCCTAACGGAGTTTGTCAATTGTTTCTAGTGGCTGACTTTAGCCTACTACTTCAGATGTTTTTACGAGTTCAATTTATGCTATCAAAATTTAATAGTGATCTGCGAGTTGAATTTCTGTCTGTAATTTGGGATATATAGGTTGTGGAAGAAAATTATTTTGGGAATTTGGAGAATATATTGAATTTAAGACGAAAATGCAGGGGAAAAAAGTACAATTAGAGACAAACATGTTTAAAATAGACAGGAAATAGACAATCATTTCTTTTGTATGAGAGAACCTTACCTTCTACGATCATGCCATTTCCAACCTCAGTATAGGACCTGTACAGAGTGTGTTAAAAATGCGTCCCTTTTGACATCGCCGATAACCTATTGTATCAGAAAAAGATTGTCGTCATAGTGCTACGGTGTTTATTTATCTTAATCGTCTGCATTCGCACGGAATATAGGAGAATGTGAAGATCATAAAGCTATCAAAGAGTAAAGGACGATAAATACGTTCGAGTTAAAATACCGACAATTTCCAATTAAAGAGACCGTATTATAAGGAAAAAACCTCATACTGTGTGATAGGAAGCTGTAGACAGCTTCGATTTAACGCAGTTCGTCTTAGCGAGGTTTTACTGTATATAAAAAAACGACATTAGAAAGAAGCAGGTGATAACTTCAACTTACACAGAATGTATTGAACCTATTTATTATGTTTGTTTTATTTTATGAAGTTATGGCAACGCAACACTTGGACGATCTGCCTATGGGGAATGACTTCCGGGAGGTCTTTTTAAGAGTATTCCGGCGTTACAGACACGGAGAAACCCTGGAAACTGCATGTAGCCAGCCCTCCTGGCCAGGCTGCATACCAACGACCGAACTCCCAGTGTTCAGGAACGAAACCACTTGGCCGCTGGTGGGTCCTATTTATTATGACATTTAAGGAAATCAAAGATTGTGGTCAAGACCGCAATAGCTTTGTTCTTGACTGACGTTGCCAAGTGGCTCTGTTCTCCGAATACTGGGAGTTCGATCGTGGGTTCGTTCCTGGCCAGGACGTCCACGTGCAGTTTTCCGGGTTTTCTCCACTTCTGTAACGCCCGAATAGGGGCCACTTACCCTTTAAAAGATCTCCCTGAAGGCATTCCCCATAGGCAGATCGCACAAGTGTCGTATTGCCGTAACTTAACTAAACAAACATGACTGATGGTAATCGTAGTGGGAAATAAGTGGGAATTATTATGGAGATGTTTAAATCTATTGTAAGAGAAAACTCTATCCATAAAGTATTCTCTTATGCTATATATGCTTAAGGGAACAAAATTCCCTTAAGAAAACGCACGAAAATATTCGAATAATTTACATAACACATATTATATAATCGAGATGGGTTGATAATGATAATAACAGTAAGCGCAGAGCCCAAACGGTTAGGAGTTGAAAGTTGAAATTTGGTACACGGTTAAGGTACGTCATGAGAACATACACTAAGAAAGGATTTTTCAAAATTCCTCCCCGCGGGGGAGAATTAACGCTTTCCGTGAAGAACTCGGCTTCTACTGTACTGTTTTAGATGTCTTTTTTGCATTTATGTGGGAAATTGAACATATTTTTAGACCCTTCTAAAAATTCTCAACGATATTTAGTTTTCCATCGTATATAAAGTTGACACAGGGAGCGCATGCTTATAAGTTCGTTTTATTCGAACTCTTTGTCTTAATGTTCGATTTTATATTTATGAATGATTCTGGAAAATTCAGCCTATTTTTCGAATTTCTTAAATTTGAAGAACCCAGAAAGAGTTACGAAAACGTTTATTATTTATTATTATTACAGTTAGTGGTACTACGTACCGGTTAGTGGTTGCATGCAGTGAGTCTTATTTATCGTTATCCCTATGTGGTAAGCAGATATCTAAAAATTCTCTAATTAGTCTCGGAAGAGAGGGACCTAATTCTTGCACTCGGTGAAAACGGGTAAGATCGGTTATAATCTAATATTTAATCTTTGCTATCGTTACTTTTCGCCCGAGCGATGCCGAGCTCATCTGCTAGTATTAAATAAAGTGACTTACACGTAATACGAATTCATTTAAAATGGCTTCCTTCTATAATAATTTGTTGTTAGTTGGCTAATGTCGACTTCCAAATACTGTAATTTATTTCAATTTTATTTCCTTTACTAAAATACGGTGTTTCCGTCTTTCCATTTTCCCTCTATTATTCTTCAATTTCTTAGCTTTTTTCTTCCGTTATTTCTTTTATAACTAGAAAAAATTTCGGTGTTTTTCTTGGAAACTGCCGGCGATACGAAAATGGCGTCTGGATTCCGCCCAGCAACAATTGACGTTTGTATTGTCTATTCGGTAACAATCGCCCATAAAGCTAGAATCTAATTGTTGTCGTCGATGACGTCACGTTATTTATAATGTCTTCTGTCTTGTAAATTTCTTGAAATTTCGTGAAAAATTTATTCGAATATCAAGGAAAATATTGAAAATAAAATTTTTAGGGGTTTAGGATGGACTTTAAAGTTTATCAAGTTTAAGTCCATATCTTTTTTATTAATATTAGGCGAATCACTTAATAAAACATTAACACCTTATATCGCTGAGAATACTTTATTCAATCACAAACGTTTTCAGCCTAATGGATAGGCCATCATCAGGTGAACTGTCAATCGAACGTATTTCAAATTTGTAGCAAATGAAATGTTCGATCATTATAAATTCAAAATTAAAACGAAAAATAAACTAGTAAATCAACAACCAAAATAAATATACTAAACACTTTACAGCCAAAACGATATAAATAAAAATAAAATAAATACATAAAAGATTAAATGTATAAAAATACACTAAACAGGCATCACATTATAAAGGTCAGATAGGGACTAAGAATCTGTGTTTCAATTTTTCTTTTATAAACAACTTCCATGCCGAAACTAAACCATCTGCATCTCTTGCATTGATGCATCCATCCCATATTTTACTTTTCGTGTTTCAAAGCTAACGATGAAGACCACACAGCCTTGAGAATAGATGCTTCATTCCATTTAACTATGGAAGCCTCCGCCTGTGCCATACTACACAAAACCGTATTACAGCGTCCTTTACTAATGTCATATCCGTGTTCTTTAATTCTAACTGCCAAATTCTGTCTTATATTAACTATTCATTTATTTTAAAAAAATAATAAATTAAAATAATTTAAAAACTAATACAGACCTAAATGCTGTTGAAATATCTTATGTTTGTGATTATTGTTGTAAAGAATTTCGAAGGAAATGTGATTTACAAACACACACTCTTGTACATACGGGTGAAAGACCATATTTTTGCAATATTTGCAAGAAAGGATTCATAACTAGTAGCAAGTTAAAATCACATATAAGAATTCATACAGGTATTAGTCCGTATGTTTGTGACTTTTGTGGTAAAATGTGTATTGCAAATAGTGATTTGAAAGCCCATGTTAGAATTCATACAGGAGAGAAACCATATCTGTGTAAAACATGTGGTAAAGGATTTAGGAGGAGCTGTGATTTACAAACACATGATAGGGTTCATACAGGAGAAAAACCTTATGTTTGTGAATTATGTCATAAATCATTTATAAATAGCAGTAAATTGAAAGCACATGCAAGACTACACACTGGTGAAACGCCATATATATGTGATGTTTGTGGAAAGGTGTGTACTACAGGAAGTGATCTTAAAATACATCATAGGATACATACTGGTGAGAAACCATTTATATGTGATTCTTGTGGGAAAGCATTTAGAAGAAGCTGTGATCTATATACTCNGAAGTGTATGTGTTCAGGTGAACTAAATAAAGAACATTATTTTTGAACTGTAAGACTAGATATCTGCATCCATAATTTTCCAGTATAATAAGTCCTGTTAATATATAGAAAGTACTAGTATACAAAATAAATTATAAATAGTTAAAAAGGACAAAAAGGCATAATAATTAATCATTTTTTTATTTAGATTTAATGTTATTGAGTTAGTGTTGTTTGTTTACATTTATTTATAACTTGTAACATGCACAAAATAAAAAAAAAATAATATTAGTTACATGTATTCACAATTTATAATTACAAAGATCAGCACACGTACACGTCTATCGTTGGAGAATCCTCGCACATCTGAGGGTCTGACCTCTACTGTATATATAAATTAGGTACAGAGCGTCGTTTATCCGAAAGTCGGTTATCCGAAAGAATTCCAGTCGGCAAATCTAAATTTTCGCTATTGCTGTGGCGCTGCAATTTTTGGCTATATCTTGGGCTACTCCAATATTATTTTTGTTGATGTGTGTTTTAGCTGGCAGCACTGGCACTTTTGTGTGGTGTTTTTCTGAAGACTGTGTGTTGTGCTGAATCGAACGTTTTTGATACTAGATTAACTTCTAAAGTATAATTTTATTTTTGGTTTTATATTTTTCAATATATTTATTTTGTTTGTAAAAAATAAAGAAATAATTTTTAACGATACAATAGCTACGATTATTATTTTGAAAAGTTTACATTAGGCTTAACATGGACGAAAATTCAACGCGAAGCGACACGCAACGGAGAAAAACTTCAACATGGCATATTTTTTCGTACATAATCGGTTATCCGAAAAACAAGTTATCCGAACAACCCCAGTCCCCAATTGATTCGGATAAACGACGCTCTACTGTAATTAATATATAATTATATGTAGAGTACTTAATTTATATATAATACTGTACAGATGATAGTAAACTCAATTTACCCGCCTAAACTCTCCGTAGCGTGGCGCTGGACGGCGGAAAGTAGTTCGGCTGCCCGATGACGTTTTACCAATTATAGGAGTTTTTTTACCATGTTCGTACGGATACCGTCGCAATTTTTTCGCCGTCATATAGGAATCCGAACTATAGGAACCCGTGTTATAGGGGGGTCGACTGTACTGCATTTGCTATTGTATATTAATAAAATACCGTACAATGAAGGAACCACTAAATCTCGAAACTCATTTATCTAAATTCACTTTTCTTTCTCGTGAAATTTCATATAGACAGGTTCAACTGTATGTAGTTTTTCAAATTCGAACATTAGCTGAATTTCTATCAACAAACTACAAATTATATTTTTTAAATTATAAAAACTATACATACAAAGAAGGATTTTTAAATCTACTTCTACAGCAGTGACTAAACGACATCGTATCTGTACAGTGACGCACTGTTCGATGAGTTATTTAAAGTTAAGATCCATACATACAGAAGAAAACACCATTTTTTTTACCTAATCTTTCTAAAACTGCTGTGTCTAATGTATAGACAATACAAGAAAAGTATAGAAAATGGATAGATGTGCAAGAAAAAATTAACCGACAGAGATAAACGAAAAGTTTGTTTTCTTCCTTACAACAATTAGAAGCTATCTACTAGACAGGTAACTGATAATTTACCAAAACCTGTGTCTCATCAGACAATGTGGTGATGTGTTCGCGATAACAATTATAAAATACTGAAAAATGAAAGTGATACCTAAAGTAATACCCGTTCAAAGACTTGAGATAGAGGTTGCGGCTGACGTTTCCATCGGGAAAACGTGTACGTCGGACGTTCGGCGCCGCATTCCTGTAAGACTAGAAGTTTGACAATGGAGTTTGGAACGTCGAGCGTGATTCCACTGACGTTCCAAACGCCATTGTCGAACTTCTAGGCTTGCAGGAATGCGGCGCTGAACGTCCGACGTACACGTTTTTCCGATGGAAACGTCGGCTGTAACCTCTCTTATATCTGTCACGAGTTGAACCAAGGAGTGGGAAAAAGTTGTGTTTTCTGATGTAAAAAGTAGAATTTAGATGAACCAGATGGTTATAGATATTATTGGCACGATGTGAAAAGAGAAGCCAAATTAGAATGACTGGTAATTTGGGATGTTTTTGGATTCAATGGGAAAAGTGATATTGTCATTGTTAATGAGTAAAATAGATTCTTCAAAATATCAGGATATATTAACAAATAATAAGTGCATTTAGATCTTTAATTGGTGGAAGCAATTAGGATATTTCAACGAGACAATTGCTTCCCTCAATGCATGAAAATCAACTAAGATCTGGATGGTAACACTGCATCAAATAAACAGAAAAAATACAAGATGGCGTCGTGCGTTTGTCGTAAACATAAAATTATGTGTAGATAACGAATTTAAATGCTCATTTTGAAAAAGCGTGATAGAAATTTATGGATAAGAACGAATATTTAAAAAGAGTAAGAAACTGTAACAATGCTATCGAGATTTTTTTCGTTATTATGAAAATTATATATGATTACATAACACTCAAAATATGAATGAATGAAAAAAGAGTTGCTTATATTTATCATTATTGTTTTTTATATGAGTTTTTAATAAAAATAAAGAACTGATCGTGATGCATTATTTTTAAAAAAAACTTTAGTTATTATTATGTTTTATTATTATAAAATTCCAATAAGTATTTACATTACTTGTAGAAGTTACTTTTAGTTAATTTGTGTATATGCTTATACATGCATGAATTAACTAAAAGTAACGTCTACTACAGTAAGTATTTTTCATTTCACTTTAAATTCTTATTTTAAAATAATGAATTATTCTGAATAAAATTTACCAAATTATTAACATTGCCTTTTTTTTTTTTTTTTCCATAATAATTTGAAGTTATAGGTACAGTAAATGAAATGTTTTACAGTTATTGTATAAACATTTGCAGACATCTGTACCAGTTCAAGCAGGTCTGTTTATTTGGAAAAAATGAATGTTTTTGATCACTTTCGGATAACTGGATAACTTCGTTAGGTTCTGTAAATTGAATGTTATTACTTGAACAACTTTTAAAAAAAAGGGATGCAAAATAACCTGACAAAGATCATTTGTTTTTGATTGAAACATTTGTTTTCTCCAAATAAATACCTGCCAGAACCAGTACTGAAGGTGTCTGTGAGTGTTTATTTTCCAGCTTTTGCAGTGTAATTACTGTACTTTAAAACTTTATAATTATCCTGAGCCTTGTTTTTTAAAGGATTAAAATTTAGGAAAATATTAAAATAAATATTTATAAAAAGTTTATTTCTGTACTTGCCTTGTAAATATACAATAAATGTATTTGTATAGTGCAGTCTGTGTAAGCAAGCACTCTAGGGATTGCTGCATCTTGCTCCGTTATTCGAAGTAATGAGGTTGCTTGGAATTGTTAATTGTATTTAATTCTTTCACTTTTTAATATCTTAGGAGCTCTATGTAACTTATAACACACTTAGAAATGTTAAAATTCATTATAACATAATTTTACTGTGCTTAGATAAAGGTTTCCATTCTTATATATTCGTTAGCTGATCCAGAAGAACCCAAAGAGGGATTAATTTGGAATTTAAAAATATGTGAATAATTAAGCCAAACAATGTTGCCAAAATTATTGGGCTTGAGGACCTTTTGTGACCATGTGCACTACAGCTGTATTGCAGATGGTCTGATAAACCATATTTATTGTCATAAATTCATTGTAAATATAGAGGAACTCAAGTAGGCTTGAATGTAGGATTAGATGAAAATTTTTTCATGATTTTCATAACATCACAATACTTATATGCTCATAAATATATATATAATGTGGTTGTTCATTCATTACTTAAATACTTTTTAGATGTTACAATTAAATATATAATTTTTTATATTCTTGTTTTTTTTTTATCTAACTGATTATAGCATGTTTTATCTGAGATATGATTTTATTGATGCATATTGTTTGTCAATTAGAATATAAATTCAAATGCTAATGCTAAAATATGGTTAGATTAGAGCATGTAAATTTTATATACAAAAATATTTAGCTTTTTAAACAATTTTATTAAAGAAGTCATTGTTTAATAGTAGGATTTTATACTGTATCTGATTATAAGATTAGAACAGTGATGGAAAACCTTTTTCTATATAAGGGCCACATTTAGAAATTTCAACTGATGTGGGGTGCACGTGAGAAAAAAGAAAAAGAAGGTAGAGTAAATCACAATTATTTATTCATATATGATTATAAATTAAAATAGATATACTTAATGAGATTTCTGGAACTAATGTGAACATAATATATCCAAAATATTTGGCTGAATATTAGTAACTTCTAGTTTTAAATTATTTTTTGAGATGTGAATCTGTTTATGTTTTACTAAATTCATTGCCAGAAAAAGCTCTTTACATACATAAGTTATAGAAAATAATAATAAGAATTTTTGTTGCACACATCCTTAAGTTGAGAAATTGATTTTATTTGATCAAAGTTTTATAAAAATCTATGAAATTATTTCTTCAAAAGTATCAAATCAAAATTACTTTGCAAGCCTATTATCTCCAATTGAAATTCATTTGGTGTATTTTCTATATTAAAAAAGGCACTGTAAAAACCCAAATTTCATTAATAGTGAATAATTTGCAAAGAAGCCAAAAACTAAACGTAATAGAAAATATGATAGAAAATATTTTGATAGAAAATATTTTAATTTAAAACTTTACAGCTCTACATGATGTTTCAAGTGAAGTCAGGTTAAACTACCTAGGTATTTAGTATAGCTACAGACTGTTCAAAGTCAGTATTTAACATTTTTATTTTATTTTATATATATATTTTTAAATACTTTGTGCTTATTGCACAAAGTATTTTAAAAGATAAGGATGGCACAAAATACTAACTTGGGCTGCAGGTTGCCCACCCTTGCATTAGAAAGTCTGAAATGGTAGTTTTTTAAAAAAACACAACTATAATATCCTTACAGTAAAAGCAAGAAATCATCTGTAGTATATAATATGCATCATAGTTGTTAATAGAACAATTATTAGATAAATGAATTTGATAAAAAGTAATCTTATAAAATCATAACAAATAAACTGTAAATATAGTATGATATTTTCTTAAATTGTGTTACAGTTTACAATACTTTGGATATAAAAAAAAACTCAAATAAAGATATTGAATTTTTTTCTAAAATTAATTTACAAAATTTATTAAATAAAAATACTACTATGCATATGTAGCTAGAACTATTTCCAAGACTAACGGCACAAAACCTTTCTCACTAATTTCTAGCCTTATTAACTGGAGTACAAACTGTTTTCGGCCTTCTTAATAGGCCTTCCTCGGGTACACTTAAGAAGGCCGAAAACATTTGTACTCCAGTTAATAAGGCTAGAAATTAGTGAGAAAGGTTTTGTGCCGTTAGTCTTTAAATAAAAATATTAGGATATTTTAAAATGTATTAATTAATATTTCAAATTTAACTAAAAGAATAATTATTCAAATGAATAATGAGCTGAGCAATTATTTATTCTGACATCATCACAATTCTGGGCTGCAAATTTTTAATCATAATTTAATAATAATTAAATCATGTTACTTCCAGTGTGGACCAGAAGTCACATATTATTAGTTGCTGCCTCTGGCCTCTAAGATTTTCATGTCTGGTCTTCATTTTATCATTTGTTGCCTTGCCCCAGCATATCCGAATTATATACATTATATTTTCCATTATGTATACATCATACTTCTGATAACAATAAAGTCATGCTGGTCATCTGTCTAACTCCATTATCAAGAACATTTTTAATTGAAATGAGCAATTATATAGTGTGACATTGTTACAATGCTGGGCTGCAATTTTTAATCATATTTTTTATGTATTTAATTTAAAATTTATGCTCTCCATCTCAAATTAGTAGTGGCTTGCCCCTGTACATCATACTTTTTCTTTAACAATAGAGTTGTGCTGGTCATCTATCTAACACCTTACAAGAGAAAATTTTTTAATTGAAATAACATGACTTCTAGTTTGCATTGGAAGTTCTTATATAGTTAATTGGGGCTTCCTGCTCCTAAGGTTTCCATATCTGGTCTCGTCTTTCATCTATCTAACTCTGTTCTAGAGATTAAGGAAAGAGACGGATGACAGTAGGAATTTATATGTCTACATTTTTTTTCAAATTGCAGCCCAATCGTATGATTGATAGATGACCAGAAGTTTGTGAATAGTTAATTGGAGTCTTTGGCCCCTAAGCTTTCCATATATGGCTTTGATTTTCATATATTTGACTCCATTCTGAAGATGAACAAAGGACAGATAGACAAATGGACAACAGTGAGAATGTATAGATCTACGATTTGAAAATTGCAGCTAAAAAGTAGTAAATTTGTTCATAATTCAATAGTTTAAATTTGTGGCATTTCATCAGTTATACTGTAGCTATTATTAAAGTGGCAGACAAAGAATGTGTTATACATGAATTAATAATAATTAACAAATCTTTATGTTGATTATTTTAAAATTATTTTAACATCCTTTTTTTATGCCAGAGTCAATAAAACCAGACTTTTACTTACCCTATTTAATATTATAAATCAGTTATTGTCACCAATATAGGTGAGTACCATATGATTACAATAGGTGGATTATATTGCATTTCATAATTGTTTTTATTGCTAATATGTTTTTTTTCAAATAAATGTAATTACATATTGTTTATAATATGAAAATAATTTATTTTTCTGTTATGAATAGATTCAATAACAAACTTTAATAACCTATCCTATGATATATTTTACTCATTGGAAATAATAGTTTTGGAAGTCATTTGCATTTTTTAGTGGAATATAAGAAAATTACATGTTCAATTAAATAAACATTAGGATAAAAGTCAAATTTTGTTATTGGTGTATTAGAATTTTTAAAATTAAGTTTTTTTCTATATAAGATAATGTGTATTTTCAAGTAATTGGATTAATATTTATATTTCATAGGAGAGAAAAATACTTCATCTCTTAATAGTAATCTACAATTTTGCAAAATTTAATTCAGGAAATTAGACAAATATGACAATTAATTACAAACAAGATATCATAATTATCTATTTACATTGGTTAAAATAAGAAAGGCAAGTAGATTAAAATGCAGAAATAATTTTGAAAAAACAAAATAGAAAAGAAAAATTAAATTCTGGGATGGAAGACAGCAATGACAATGAAATAAATTCTGAAAATCCAGATGAAGCAGATGAAAATTTGGTTACTTTAAACAATGAAACAGCTGTAGAATGCAATAATAATATAATTTCTGAACAAGATAATTGTAAAGAAACACATGATGAAATTATTGAAACAGAACAAGTTAGCACTATATATAAATGTTGTGGAAAAGAATTCCTAAAGTATACTGGATATAAGATTCACCAGAGAAAAATGCACATTAAACAAAATACATTTCCTTGCAACTTATGTAATAAAAAATTTATGAATAGAAGACAATTAAAATTGCATGAAAAAAATCATACAGAAAAGGAATCTGAAACATGTAATATATTTAATACAGAGTATGAAATAAAAAATAATTTAAAAACTAATACAGACCTAAATGCTGTTGAAATATCTTATGTTTGTGATTATTGTTGTAAAGAATTTCGAAGGAAATGTGATTTACAAACACACACTCTTGTACATACGGGTGAAAGACCATATTTTTGCAATATTTGCAAGAAAGGATTCATAACTAGTAGCAAGTTAAAATCACATATAAGAATTCATACAGGTATTAGTCCGTATGTTTGTGACTTTTGTGGTAAAATGTGTATTGCAAATAGTGATTTGAAAGCCCATGTTAGAATTCATACAGGAGAGAAACCATATCTGTGTAAAACATGTGGTAAAGGATTTAGGAGGAGCTGTGATTTACAAACACATGATAGGGTTCATACAGGAGAAAAACCTTATGTTTGTGAATTATGTCATAAATCATTTATAAATAGCAGTAAATTGAAAGCACATGCAAGACTACACACTGGTGAAACGCCATATATATGTGATGTTTGTGGAAAGGTGTGTACTACAGGAAGTGATCTTAAAATACATCATAGGATACATACTGGTGAGAAACCATTTATATGTGATTCTTGTGGGAAAGCATTTAGAAGAAGCTGTGATCTATATACTCATCAAAGAATTCATACTGGAAATAGACCTCATGTATGCACATCTTGTGGAAAAGGATTTATAAATAATAGTAAATTGTTGATACATCAGAGAACACACACTGGAGAAACTCCTTTTGTTTGTGATTTATGTGGTAAAAAGTGCACATCAAATCATGATTTGAAAACCCATCAGAAAATGCATACAGGAGAAAAACCATTTGTATGTGATATATGTCACAAAGGATTTATTAATAGTAGTAAGCTACAGTCTCATCAAAGAACTCATACTGGAGAAAGACCTTATATCTGTGATTCATGTGGGAAAAGCTTTATTCATATCAGTAATCTGAAGATACATAAAAGGATTCACACTGGAGAAAGACCATACATATGCAACACTTGTGGTAAAGGTTTCATTGATAGTGGAAAATTACAGATACATTTAAGAATTCATACAGGTGAACGACCATTTATATGTGATTTTTGTGGGAAAAGTTGTATATCACAAAATGATTTAAAGAATCATCAAAAAATTCACAGCAGTATTAGACCATTTACTTGTGATTTATGCAGTAAAGGATTTATAAGTAATGTTAAATTGCAAATTCATAAAAGAGTACACACTGGAGAGAAGCCATATATCTGTAGTTATTGTAAGAAAGGATTTGTAAGCAGCAGTAGTTTAAAAACACATCAGAAAATTCATACTGGTGAAAAACCATTTCTTTGTGACTTATGTGAAAAAGCATTTACACAGCATGTTCATCTTCAAAATCATGTTAAAAAACATCATAAAGAAACTATTATGACTGAACATGATAATGAAGATATGAGACTACACAAAGATGAATTTTATAAGGAGATTAATTGTAATATATGAACTAAAATAAATAATCTTAACATATCAAGATTTATGTAAATCATTTTATGATGATTTAAAAAGTATAACAGAAAACTGAATAATTATTTCAAAATGGACTCAAAGAAATATTTTGAAAAATTGATATTTAAATATTAAATTAAATTTAATATATTGCAGCAGATAGATTATATTTCTGTTTTGAATTAATTTTTATTTTATGTATTTATATTAAATTTTATTTATATATATAACCTATAATTGTATAATGATATAATGGTCTGTAAAGATTTTGTACTTTCATATTATAATTTATATTTTTACAGAATTAATTTAGATATATTATCAGTTTAATTAGCAAATTTGTTGTTTATTTTGATTATAATTTGTTTACAAGAATAAAACTTTATTCTTAATATATTGTGTTTTCATAAATAATTTTTAATCATTGAAGAAGATTGACGATTTAAAATGAAAAAGAAAATAAAAAAAGACTTTAAATTAGCTTTGAAGTTTCATAAAATGACTGCAAACATGTTTCAAATTATAGAAAAATTTTTTTTTCAAATATTTAGTTCTATGCAAGAAAATGAAAGTTTTGTTTTGTGACAAAATATGATTATATAAAATCTAACCAACAGTCAGTTCAACTGATAATTAGCAGCAAGATTCAATATCTTGTTGAAAATTAGCAGTTGAAATACCAAGTAATTGTGTGACTTAAATCTGATTTGGCAGCTATATGACCAAGCCTTAAAGATACCCGCTTGCTGCTCTATAGTACACAGATATGACTCTAGTTTAGCTTGGAAATTTTTTGGACAGATTAATATGGATATGCTAGGTCCCATCTTTCACATTCAGATGCTCCCATTGTAGACTTAGCTGAGTCAATGGGAGGCATAGGGAAAAAAAGCCTTATGTAGTTTGAAAGAGTTAAATAGATTTTAAAAAAGGAAATCTTGCCACTCAATTTATTAAATAAATAATAATAATAATAAAAGATTATTGTAGTAGTAATGAACTATAAACAATGATTTCTAAGATTTTTAAAAGTGTGTTAAAATTTTAAATTTTTATATTTGTCAAAATAGATCAAAATATCCAAAATTGGTTTACAATTACAAATGTCCACTGGTGGCCAAGTGGGTAACACTGCTGAACATCGGTATTTGCTTGTGGGTTTGTCTTGCCAAGTGCGCTGGCAAGGTGGAATTTTCTGGATTTTCTTCACAATTGAAACACTAGATAAGGGCCAGTTTCCCATAAAAGTTGTCCTGGGAGTCTACCCCCTTGGTAGATTGCCCACGTGTTGTGTTGCCATAAACAAGTAAACCTAAACCAAACTACAGTAACAAATCCAATGAATACCATTTCTGGTTGAGATATTGTTAGATACACTAAATTTTAGATGATGAAAAGATTTGTTTATTCTTTGTTATTTTTTTATTCTTTTATAGCTACTTTTTTGCTATTTGGACAGACTTATCCTACCACAATTTTTTGAAAAATTTTTACTTTGTTTTTTCTTTTCTATTTTTTATTAGACTTTTGATCTCCAAAATGTACTGTACATTTTGGGTTTTTCTACCCTTCTTCAGTTGGAGTTTTACAATTTTATAAGGTATATTCTTTCATTAGACAGTATGTTCTTCATTTTTAACAGTATACACTTGGAGTTTTCAATTTCTAACAAGGATTACAATTTTTCAGAGGGTACTGACTAAAATTATATCTAAATATATAAAATTACTTGTCCTGACTGACTGACTGAGTGATTGATTCATCATCGCCCAGAGCAAACCGCTGAACCGAGGTGAAATTTTGTACACAGTTATGGTACGTCATGAAAACGTACACTAAGAAGGGATTTTTCGAAATTCCTCTACGGGGGAGAGGGAAAGGATTAAGGCTTAACCCAAAGAATGGCTTTTACTGTACTATTTTAGATGCGATTTTTTGTTTTCAACTACGTTTAGTCTTCATTGAGTACTTAGGTGTATTAAATTGATAACATTTCAGATATTTATAAATATTTTTATATATTTCTATTTTTTAACCAAATATTCAAATCATTTTAAATTTGAATTTGTTATTGCATATCGGTTCAATTATAGAACGATTGTAAACGTTCCAGAAAATTGATCAAATTGAAAACAGTTTGTTTGATTCTCAGCAATTCTCATCATTCTCAGCAGTAGGTATTATATAACAAATACTATGGTTGTTGAAATACTGAATATAAATATGGTTTGCTTGCAAACTCTGTGCGGGTGAAATCATGGGTAACAGCTAGTACCAATATAAAATTGTAAAATTACAACTGAAGAAGGGTAGAAAACCCAAAATGTACATCTTGGAGATTAAAAGACTAACAAAAAAATAGAAAAGAAAACACCAAGGAAACATTCTGCAAAAATTTGTGGCACAATAGTCTGCCAAAATAGCGAGTTTGCTTTGTAGGGAGGATAAGTATACAGGTATGTTGCCACCTTCTGAAAATCGCTGACCCGGACGGCACGTCAGGTTTGTTCGAAGTTCCTGACCCTGTGCAATGTTATTTTACAATGCGAAGAATAGCGTGCATGCCAGTTCTAGATCAGTTACAGTTAGGGACTAGGGACTTGCGTAGGAGTAACGTAAATAACCTAAATGAAGAAAGAACAGGTACAGATAACTTAGCTCTATTTGAGATGTGTACGATCGTACAAGGAAAAAAAGAAAAAAAAGGGGAGGTCAACAGGTCGCGTGCCACACGTCGGCGTAAGCAGACTAACATGGCAGAATTGCAGATGAGTTACAGTAAGTGTCAGTTTTTTCTCTGTTAAAATAGTGTAAATTTATAAAAATATTTGCAAAGAACTTTGTTTCATTGTAATTTCACAATTTCTACTTAATTCCTGTACAAAATTAATAGTTCACTCGGACAGTGAGTCAATTCCCGGACTGTCCGGGTGAAAACCGGACGGATGTTAACACTATATACAGGTTATGCAAAAGCGAGATGGAGAAATTACTATTGTATAACATGGATTATAATTTTATTGTAATAACATGACAGTCTCCTATAACTATTTTACAACTTAATAAAAAGTAAAACATCTGGATACAAGTCCAATTTTTCTTGCCATGTCTAATCACCAGGAACAACTATTTCCATTGCAGAGACAACCTTTCTCTAGAGGCTATACCTCTGCACAAATATGTAAAACAGTTTAAAATGTCCACAGGTGACAATCCCAACACAATTAAAAATATAATATTTGTTTGTAGAAAAGGGCTGGCAGAATTACAATTTAATAAAAAGTAAACTTTTACTTTTTATTAAATTGTAATTCTGCCAGCCCTTTTCTACAAACAAATATTTTACAACATTCAGAAATTTTAAATTGTAGAACTAGTCTCACTACAAAACAAATAGCACATCTTTTCATTGTAAAATTTAATGCATTTCTATACATAATTATACCATTTTCAAAATGTTTAATTTTTTTTTTTTTTTTTTGTTAATAGAATAATTATGTGAATATACGAGTATTTCTAAACATTTTTCAATATTTTACAGTTTTTATTATTGCCTCATTTGCTTCAAACAATTACCCTTAGGGAAGGGTAAAATGCGTGCATTTTTAAGTAATGAAGACTTTAAACAATAGATGAATAATTTTAATGCTTTCAAGTAATTTTTTATTTAAAAAATAAAAATTAATTGTGCAATTTTAGGTTATATTAAATATAACCTTTCCAATCAGAAATTGCCACTTAATGAAAAACTCTAAAATGGCATAGAATTCATTGTAAAAGGCAAGAAATCGTAAATATGATAACTTTGTTATTTTTCGTTTTCGGTCCAAAAGTAGGGTACCGTTGAACTCGTCTCGGTCCCCTCAGTTCTGATATATACTCAGTCCCAAAATTCCACAGGGAATAATCTGTACAACATCCCTGGAAATTAAAAGTTCCAGAACAAAATTTTAAAAAAGAAAACAACAAAAGTATGCTTTTTCTAGACATAGCAATAGAAGTAGAGAAAGGAGGGGAAATCGCTACAAAAGTTTACAGAAAGGCGACGTATAACCCACTGTTTATACCAAGAAACTCTAAGACTCGGCAAGCTATAAAATAGAAGTGTTCTGGGCACTTATAAAGAGAGCATACACACACTGCAGCAAACCACAAGACAGAATTAAAAAATTAGATCACATCAAAGCACAGCTAGGCAGTGCGGTATCTATCAGAATACGATAAACGCCATTATTAAAACAAAACAAAAATAGGCGGTAATGAAGGTAATGAGCAGGAAGAATAAAAGAATACACTGTATGGCACCTCTAAACAATATTTACAAAGAAATAAGAGCCGCAACAAACAAAAAGATAATTTTTAAAAGGAATACCATAGTTTACCAAATGCTATGCACAGACAAGGAAGACAGACCAGAGCTTGATTCCAGGAATATATGGAATATCAATATAAGACGAAAGGCGACAAAAAGAGCTATACTACATTGGAGCCACAGGGAGATCATTAAAAGAAAGGCTAAAAGAGCATAAAAGGAACGTGCAGAATGAGCTACTAGTCACTGCACTAGCGTGGCCAGATGGCCGAGCGGTCAAGGTGACAGCCTACCGCTCTGGGGACCCGGGTTTGGATCCGAACGGGTCGAAAAATCCCCAGGAATTTTTCGGGGGGTGGTCCGTTCGGATATGTCGGGCCCTGTCCCTCACCACTCGGCAGCCCCATTGTGGGCCTGGCCGAACCCATAATGGGCTTGCTAAAGGAAACCCTCTTAGTGCCCACAAGGCAGGAAGAGCAAAAAGAAAGTAATAAAGATTTAACGAAGGTTGAGTTTTGTTGAATGTCCGAAGAAGGGTGGGGTTGTGGAAACTAGGAAAAACTGGAACAAGAAAAGAGAGTAACAATTTCAAAAAAAAAAAAAAAAAATACGGACATAATTTATGAACATCCCCAAATGAAAGTTTTCGAATGCAGTAATCCATCAATAAACATAACTTATTCACAAAATGAACAAGTTTGGTGTACATTTGTCTTAACACCATGATGTCTGATTATCTGATGTGGAGGGTCAGGCATTTGAGCATCTTGCTGCTGTACGCTCCGCTCATCATAAGTATCATCAATTCGTTGAGTATCATCATCTACGTTAGCCAAACATATTCGCTTTAGTAATCTTCATGGCACTACTGGCTGTCTCTATAGATGCCAAAGAAAATAAAACTTTGAAGGAACTGATGTTTCATGCAAATAGTTGTATCCATTCTGTGAGTAGAAACAGTTAGGTTCAAAGTGCCGAATGCAAAGAACAATACTGTTGCTCGGTTTCCATTTGTCACGGCGTATAGCTGTCAACCACCAACCGAAGTATTGCTTAGTTTTAGGAAACCTGTCAACAAAAGATTCATCGTGTGATCGTTTTACATACCGGTACAAGAACCATGTCCTCAGTCGCGATCAAAACCTCATAACTCCAACATTTGTTCAAATTTGAATTACAGAATTAGTGTATAATAGTGTTGTAAAGAATAGTATATTTGGCCTCAGGCTGAATACCGAATATTCGGCTTGATTAACGCACGTACGAAAATTGGCCCGCAAACCGCATTATGGCAAGGATCCTGCTCTCTATTGGCCCGCTGTCACTACGCTTCGCCAATCGCGTTTATTCTTGCCAATAAGCTGCCTCGACTTGTTCGATTATGTTATCAACTCAATTTCATATTTATTTTCACATTTTCACTTCGCGGTCCTTCTCTGTTCTTTTTCCGTTATTTACACGTGTAGGTCATTTCATTGGTATCCACATTTGATATCATTATTTATCACATACTTCCATGACACTCTTGTCTGTCCGTCACAACTGCGTTTATTCTTGGCAGTTGTGACAGACAGACAAGAGTGTCATGGAAGTATGTGATAAATAATGATATCAAATGTGGATAACAATGAAATGACCTACACGTGTAAATAACGGAAAAAGAACAGAGAAGGACCGCGAAGTGAAAATGTGAAAATAAATATGAAATTGAGTTGATAACATAATCGAACAAGTCGAGGCAGCTTATTGGCAAGAATAAACGCGATTGGCGAAGCGTAGTGACAGCGGGCCAATAGAGAGCAGGATCCTTGCCATAATGCGGTTTGCGGGCCAATTTTCGTACGTGCGTTAATCAAGCCGAATA